CTGCAAGTTTAAGAGTCATGCAGTTTTTCAAACAAAAAAACTGGGGGATGAGGATTTGTCCTGCAGGCCTAAATGAAGAGTGACTGGCTGAGGATAGTGTCTTATTCCTGTAGTCCCAGCTACTTGGGAGGTGGAAATCTGGAGAACCATGGCTTGAGGCCAGGCTGGACAAAAAGTTAGCCATCTCAATAAACAAGCTGGAGGCAGGCACAGGTGGCCCATGTCTCTAATCCTAGATACTTGGGAGGCTAATCTGGGGAGGATCTCGGTTCAAGGTCAACTCAGGAAAATAGTTCTCAAGACTCCATCTCCAAAATAATCAGAGCAAAAGTGGACTGGAGGTGTGGCTTAAGCGGTAGAGCACCTGTCCTGCAAGTGCAATGCCATGAGTCCAAACCTCTGTCCCACCCTACCTCCATAATAATAATAAAAAGAAAAATCCTTTGAGTGTCAGGTTTATAGCAGAAAAGTCTTTAAAAACTTCATTTTATAATAAAGTTGGTATGGTGGTGAATGTCTGTAATCTCAGCTATGCAGGAAGTATAGGTAGGAGGATCATGGTCTGAAGTTGGTTCTGGGCAAAAAGTACAAGATGGTATCCAAAAAATAACTAAAGTGAAAAAAAAGGGTTAGGGGCATGGCTCAAGTGGTAGAGAGCCTGCCTAGCAAGCATGAGTCCTGAGTTCAAATCCCAGTACTGCCAAAAGTCACATCAACAGCAAAGTAAAAACAAAAATAAAAACGGTGACAGATTATACAGGTGAAAGACTCCAAGGTGAAAGACTCTTGGAGATGCTAAATCTGTTTCAGTTCATTTCAGGCTAGAAGAAGCTAGGTGCCATGCAATATCCACTAACCAACTTTTTAGAGAAATGTGATTTCAACCCTGATCTGAGCTGTCCCTTTGGCTCCAGTTAGGCAGGTGGAGCTGAGCAAGTCCACGTGCTGCCGAATACTCTCCAGAAGGCCAGAGGAGAAAGCACTCCTTGTCAAGATACTTCCCCATCTTAAAGCCTCACTAAAGTAGGTTAAGGGGTCTGGTAAGGGAAAAAGTCTGCAGTCAGAACTGTTCACTGGAATGCTGGTAGTTGACTGTCCTACTTTCAAATCAAAGTTTTTTTTGGCGGAACAGGACAGTTTTCTGTAATCAGTGGCAGATGGTTCACATACCTGTATTTTGACCACATTTCCTACTTGTTCACCCAAAAATGACTTCCTAGCTTCAAACTCTTCCCTAAGGATGGGTCCTGAGCTTGTGGCTTGGAAGCGAAGAAGCAAGTCCTCTGAAGCAGACCACATATTCTGACAGATGTAATGGGCTGTGACTTCCTCAATGATGTCCTGGCAAGAGATATTTCTTATGGTTACACTTCACACATCAGGTGAGAGAAGCACACAGAATAGCTTCTGGACATTCTAACTTTTAGAAAAATGACATGGCTAACTCTTTTCGGCTTGGTTTAGAAACAGATTTCACCAGAGCCAAGGATGAATTGGCTTAGTTGCTTTCTAGAGACATGATTTTGGAGTCCTCTCAGCATGGTGCTGAGGGGACGTGAGAAGACAGTTGAATGATGTCAGGATTTGGAGACAGAGATGTACAGATGATGCCAGCAAGAACTAGGAGGCTCCACAGAATGGAAAAGGGACAAGGATGACTACTGGAAGAAATGCCTCCCTGCCTCCATTGGGCTGCAGGACCCATGATGTCCTCAGGTTCCTCCTTCCCTTTCCTTCCTCAGACCAGAGCAGGGAACCCTCTGCCATGAGCTGTGGAAGATTAAGATGATGCTTGGGGTGAATGAAATATTTGGGGCAGAAAGAAAGGCAGTAGCAGAGGAACACAGTGCTATCAAGGGCACACACGGGAATCGGGGGGAAGAGAAAAAAGGAGGATTATGACAAGTTTCTGTGTGAGTGCTGAACTAGGTTTACTTTTAGGTTTGTTGTGAGACACAAGTAGAGACACTAAACCCACGTCTGCAGCTGGAGACTCTCATCCAGGGCAACTGACCCAATGGCTGATTAATTAAATTAAGCAGTTAAAAGTGAAATCACTTAAAGATGCATAAATTGCTGTAGGAGAAGAAATTTATATGTATTCACTGAGAAAGATTAATTTCAGGTTGTTTAGAAGAAATATGATTTTTTATAGCATGAGACCCTCCATTTAATAATCCTAATGGATTGATGCTCGATATAACAAAAAGTTCTATCTGGGGCATCTTTGTATGCCATCTGAGCAATTTTTTATATCAAATCTTAACTCTTTAATGCTTCTTCTTCATGGTTTGGTACATCTTTCCAACCATGCATATGATTTTTTTAGCACTGTCCATAATCTCACTTTTTCAAAAAATTAGCCCTAAGTAATCCACTGCTCCAATATCCTTTGCCTAAAAAGTGTAAGAATCTTGAAACTCTGAAATTAGTAAATTATGGTCTTCACGCTCTTCTTGTTATTTAGAGGTTTTGCTATTAAGCATTGTCAGACTCAGGCCACAATTTTTCTGCTACATGGCAGTATCTCTGATGCAGTTGACTTTTTTTTGTCAGTACTGGGGTTTGAACTCAGGGTCTACACCTTGAGCCACTCCACCAGCCCTTTCTTGTGATGGGTTTTTTTGAGATAGGGTCTTACAAACTATTTGCCCAGGCTGGCTTTGAATGGTGATCCTCCTGATCTCTACCTCCTGAGAAGCTAAGATCACAGATGTGAGCCACTGATGCCCGGCTTCTGATGCAGTTGACTTTTAATGATTCTATAAGAGCTATCTTTGTATAGTCCACTTTTTCTTCTCCAAGATGGAATAAAATTATTATTAGTATTTTCTCTTATAACATATTACCATGCCTGGATCCATCAGTAATTCTCATAGCTTTTGGGTCCAACTTTTGGTCTTACTCTCTGAGAATCTTAGTGCACATTCCTTCAAGAGTATTTTCCTCTGAGAAGTATTACTTTTTATAGGGCCTATTTATCTGTGTTAGGATAAATCTATTTCTTGAGCTGTGTTTTGTGTTATTCCAGAGCACAGATAAACCCTCAGGGATACTGGTGGCCATGTCAAAAACAATGGCACCAGTGGAAGACAGTAGAGTAGAAATCACTGGGAATAAACCTCTGATTACTGATGAATTCTATATGAGTTGTAGAAGTAACACAAGTTTTGCTTTGTCCACTCTGTGCCTTAGCTGCCCCACCAGAAAAGATGAAAGATGGTAATATTTGCTCTGTCTCTTCTTGGAGGACGATTTAGGGATTAAACTGTTATCAAGGTGCACTGGAGAGTGAAACTCTATCAAATAAAGTGTACTTGGCTCTGTGCTTTCAGAAGATCTTATTTGTAGTGCTACCCATTCTTTGGGTATTTGTGGGCACACCAGTTAAGAAAGGTTACTTTTGGCCATAGCTTGTTTCAGACATCTTATTACAAAAGGACAGACTCTAATTTCACATCCATCGGACTTTACTCACTCCTGTTTCTTCATTGCTTTTCACCAGCTTTCCACAAAACAAAGAAAAACCCCACAAAGAAAGCCATTCTGGTAATATCTGCCTTACCATCTGCTTATAGCTTTTGCTTCAGGAAACTTCTAAGAAGCATCTGGTTCCTTAATTCTGTGTTCTAAGAAAGTAACCATTCAGATCTAATAAAGCCATGGTCACAGAGAGGTATCCCTTGTCACTGTTCTCTTATTACCTTAAATAGGGAGGGAGAACATAAAATGAATGAAATTAAATGATCTAGAATTGAGACTGAAAAGAAGACTTTGGCCCTAGTTTTTCTATTACTTCCCCTTTAAGTTGTTGGTTTGTAAATATGCAGCCCTGACTTCCTGTACATACATAAAAACTGCCGAGTATTTGAGAAGAAATTTGGATTAAGATGGACCAGGCAGATGGAGAGAAATCAACAGGTGCCCTGAGACACAGACCAGTGAGAAAAACCATTTGAACAAGTGATCCTAACACAGACTTTCTAAATAGGCTTCTTTCTCCTGTACTTAACATTTTAAACATCCTCATAGCCAATAACCTATGCCATGTGTGTTAATTAATTCAGTATGTCTTTGCTTCTAACAAGAAGTTCAGATAGGCTAAAAAAGGGATAAGTTAAATCTGATAAACTGAAACTTTCAAATATGGTCAAGATTCATTAAAGGGGATCTTTAGAGGCTAAATAAAAACTCTTTCACTGTATGATGTTTCACTTTTGATGAGCGCAATGTATGGACACATGACTAAGTTCTGCCTTAGTTAATCAGAAGCCATGTATAAAATTTCTCAGCTGTGTTGTTTTCACTTATGTTTAGATGTTGGCACAAGCAAAGTCTTCGAAATTACATTAAACAATGAAATCATGCTAAGACACCTATTTCAGAAGAAGCAAACATTTAAAGCTTACTCATCCTGTTCTCTGCCCAACCCTGTTGTCAGCTCCTAAAGCCATCCTGGGGATGGCTAGGATAGTGTGCAGCAGAGAAACCCTTTCCAGAACTTTGTGGGAAAAAATGGCATTTTGGTTGGAAAGGGCTCAAATTGTAGGCTTAAGGGGGGAAGAAAAAATAAGGCATTTTGAACATTGATGACTAAGAAAGTATCACTGAAATTGAACTTAATTTTGCCAAGGAAAGTGTGAAGATTAATTTCTCAGGATAATCTACCTTCACCAATGAATTGCCAAAGCTTTCTTGCTGTTTGGTTTTGTTATGCCAATATGGGAAAAAATTATAAAAGTTAGTAACAATGGAGCCATATCCAGCTGCAGTTCATGCAAACTTTATCCCCTGTCCGGTCTTTAAATAAAGCAATTTGTTCTTTCCATCACTTCCACAATACAATAGAAAAGCAATCTTCCTTATCTTCTTTGGTGGTACTGGGGTTTGAACTCTAGGCCTCCCACTTGCTAGGCAGGTGCTCTATCACTTGAACCACACCCCCAGCCCCACACTTATCTTTGTATAGTATAGTTTTCCATCAAATACCAACTGCCTACCTCAATTTCTTTTCCTGTGAGCCACGATTCTTTAGGCAAGAATGATTCAGGTAGGACCCAGGAACTCTCTTTAGAATCGATGTTGTAATAGTAGTCATAGTTCTCCTGCAAGTTGAATTTGATCCATGGACCTTCATTAAAAACTAAAGAAAAGAAGTTTGTTAAATTCTACAAAGGAACATGAAACCTTTATAATAGTATAGTTTCTTCAATATGTAAAATAATCCAACAAATATGTTTTTCACCACTCAGGTGGTTGAAGTTAAAATAATTAGAAATGACTTGGTAAAATGGAATGAATTCCATGCATTCAAGGGCAGCTCCCTGCTGAACCAAAGGAAAGGAGGAGAGATAAATGCCTAATACTAGCTCTGTACCCCAAATCTTCCATGAGGATGATAGGAGTCAAAATGGCCAAGGAGAAGGAAATGCAAATAAGGAAAGTAAGTCCCATACAGATGTGAGTGATACAAGTAGAGAGGAGACCAATGAACAGGATTCTCTTTGCTCATGAGTCTCCCAGCAATTTCTCCCATAAATAGTGACATAAAGGAGTGTGACCCGTGTTTAACAGGGAATGATCTGCATTAAACCAAAGTAAAGTGAGTTACCTTTGGACACAACACTACCCAAATTAGTACACCACCGAGGTCAACTAAAGTAGGAAAAAAAGAACATTCCTGATCTCTCTCACTCATATAGCTCTCTCCACACAACCACATAAAATGAGAAAAAAATTGTTGCGAGGACTTAATTTGGTTTGAGGGGCATGCTGGAAAAATCTATGGCAGATAGACACAGCTTATATTGATCAAGAAGAGTGTCTCCTCCTCCTGAATCTATGGGCTATATTTCATATTGAGGAATCTTTATTTTTGTTGAATAGTCATGATTTCTGTCCCAGACCACAGAACTAAGGACAACCAAAGACATTAAAAGGTTCTGATTTAGACTAAACTAAGTCCATAGCTGCCAAGTAAGTGTTACACTGATTGCCTGTCTAGGTAAATCAAAGTTTAAGTGATTTCTTCACAGAATATTTAAATGCATTCAAATAACTAAGCAAAGGTGATCTGAATATGTGTTGGCTTTTTTTTTTTTTTTTGGTTTTAAATGTCCCTCAAATGATCTATTTGTCAGTAGTTAGGAAGGAAGATGGCTCTCTTTTCAAATGGGCAGTCAGACATCTGATGGTGACCTTTTGTGTTTGGCTTCTTTAACTTAGCTTGCTGTTTTTAAGATTCATCCATGTTGTAGCATGTGTCAGTTCTTCACTCCTTTTTGTCACTATATAGAAATGTCACATTTTGTTAATCCATTTCTACTTAGTATCTCTACTTAATACTGTGCAACCATGGACGATGAGTCTCACAAAGGACTAAATGACAGAAATTATTAGTGTAAAAATTGACTTATAGTACCTCAATTATATGATGTTACCATCTAGGCCTAGTCACTGACTTAGTTTTCCAAATAAATAAATAAAATCTAAAAAATTTCCTTTGCCACAGATGATGAAAAATTTCAGAATATTGATTTGGAAGTACTACTTGTCTTAAAATTAAGAAAATACAATACCACAGAAACCATCATATTTTAAATGATATTTAGTTTGCACGATGTAATGAAGAAAGCTTACCATTTTCAGATTTGGACCGCTTGGCTTTCACAAGGGCATCATAGTACCTGTCGGCACATTCAGGAATTATGTCTTGCGTATTACTAGCAGAAGCCTTCAACACAGACAAAATGTCACCTGGTTGATTTCTATCCAAACACTGATTGACGTCAATCACCAGAGTAACCCCTGGATAATGAAAAAAAAAATGTTTTTGTTAATGGTTATCTTCTACTTACTCTGAAGGCACACAAATATATAATTCAACCTTTTACAAATGAATTGGTATTAACCCTTTTTACCTTTTGAGAGTATGTGCCAAAAAAACCAGAGTCAATCACCAACTCACCTACCAGTTTAGATTGTAGGAAGAACAAGATTCTATAGCAGCACGGCATATTAAAAATCGTAATTCTTCCTGGTTAGTCTTGTGTGGTATCAGGCACTAGGTTTTGCTCACCATAGTAAACTGAAATTGGTGAATGCACATCAGGGTAGATATGCAGCCCTAGTTTAGGTCATCAATTGAAATTTTAGAACCAATTTTATGAAGCCATTTATTTTAATGTGAGCAAGATGCTATTTAACCTATGGAAATCCTAATATTCTCTTGTGTCATGCTGGTGTATTTGGCAATGTTGTCAGGGGCAACTTAAACCTAAATATGTGGATATGTGCAATGGAGTCCAGAAGATTCATTCTGGATTATTTAGATGCAACAAGATTTCAAATTTCCACCTCTCCTTACCAACAAAGTCATACTAAAGTCTCGATTGCCTAAAGAAAGTTAATTTAATAAATTCTTTATTATCCACTTTAGTTCTCAGTAAGAATATTCTGGTCCAACCAATGGAAGTACTGTTTTCACAACCTATCAATGCAGCAAGTCAGAAATATAGAATGTAAAAAAAAAAAAAAAAAAAACACCAACCCAACCAAACAAAAAAAGGGAGAAGAAGCCAGGTTAAATACTTTTCAGATATTAAAAAAAGATCCTGGTGAAAAGAAGGGGAGATGGATATTTTTCCTTTTCCTTCCCTTCCCTTCTCTTCCTCCCTTTCTCCCTCCCTCCTTCCACATGTGTCAAACTCTAACAAGTGCTAAATGACATACTGTTGTCATTGAATTATGTTCATGTGTGCATAGTGCTATCGTAGTGATGTTCACAGATATGGCTGAAGAAGCATGAAAACCAGCCAGTCCACTTTTGCCAGCTTGAAGTTAAAGTCATGCACATCCAGAGGACACACAAATACTAACGAACTTGTCTAGCAAACTCCACTGACTGCTAGGCAACAGCGATAGACAGCAGTATGACCTTGTGGCTATTGAGGTTAATAGTGATCAGGCAAACCATTGCTTCCTCTTTACCAGGAGAGTTCTGTAGCATGGAGATCTGACATTTGAAAGGTCTGTGGTCTGAGAAAAGCAGAAGGAACAAGTAAGTGGTAAAGAAGAATTCTCACATGAATTACATGTGATAGTTTCATTGAACTAATAAAACAAAATGTAATTTTCCTTGAAAGATGACATTACAAAGGCACACACTGCTTGCATACAGTAATGTTCTTTATCACTGAGAACTAATGTGCAAGGAGCTGGTCCACAGGTCAATTTCTGGTGCAAACTCTTATCTTACTAGACACACTTTCCATGAAAATCTGAAACGTGCCTTGGAGAAAGCACACAACTGGCACTATCTTGTTCCTCATTTTACTCACATTCTGTGGTACATCATAGGTGCTCAATGTTTGCTGAGGGATGCCAGAAGAGTCTTTTATGCCATTAAAATTGGACTGGGCAACAGACAGTGGAGTGGTACTTTCAAGGACTTGGAGTGTTTAGATCTATTTGAGCTGGCATTAAATGGCCTCAAATGTGTCTGCTTGTTAGTGTGCCCTCTTTCCTCAATGTCAGGGATCATGACATCCATGTGCCTGCCTGTGGCAGCCCAAACTCTGCATCATCTTGGAATCTGTGGCTTCTGCTGTGCTCACAAGAGAAATAGGCATAGATATTAGAGTTAAACCCATGAAAAGAATAAACAGACCAAGGAGTCTGTCCCAGGTATCAACAGTGAGGAAAGTAGACCATCTCCCTAACACACAGGTTGTTCAGCACTGGTTTAGGTTGTTTTGTGGATTATCAGTGTGTGTGGCTAAGTCGCAGATAGTAGAGGATGTTAGATAAATGACGTCCAGGAAGTCATATGCATTTTGGCTGTGGAACAAATGAAGAGGCCTCCTTTGACTCTCCTATGAGTTAAAAAAAAAAGTTTGCTTTACAAATTGTGCCACACACCAGCTAGCTGTCTAAGGTTTGCATTCTCAAGTCCCAGTAGGGCTGACACAGGTTCTTGGGGGTAGAGGGTGAAAAAAATCTACGTATGGTAAGTAATCTACATATGGCATCTATGTATGGTACATAAAAACACATATATACAACTTATTTGTGCCATTAAAGTTTCATGATGAAGAGAGATTAAGGAAAAATACTTTAAGACTCCTTAGGGTACAATAATGAAAAAAGGGTTGAGAAACACAGCTCTAAGGAGTCAAAGGTTGAGGCAAACTTACTTGAAGCAAGCAGAATATTCCAGCAAAAAGGAACACTGGCCAAAATGAAGGAGACTTAGTTATTCTGCCCTTTTCAGTCTTGCCTCTGGTGAAATACATGGACCAACACACTCTTATATCAAATTATTTAGGATGCTTACACATGACCAGAGTCTGTTTCAAGTATTCATGCAAAAGATGAAAAATACTTTTAAAAGTATGATTACATTCTTGTTGAAAACCCAGAAAATCCTCATTTCAATGTCTGAATATAAAATGGCTTTAACTATAATAAAGAATCTTATTTTGTTGTTATACATTGTAGAAGAAAGTACAGCAACTCTTGCAAGGTCAGGGTACAGGAAGGAGACAGGATTTAGATGTGAGGCACAGAATACGCAATCGTACATATTTGAGTAAACTTTTTTACTTTTATGGTCAACAGAACCAGGAGTCTCAATGTGAAAAATAGACCCAAGATTTGCGGATCAAATGTAAGAAAGCAATGAGTAAGAGGAACAAAATGACATATAAATTGGTTTGATCTCCAAGAAAAAGTCATAACCATTTTAGGCTATTTGTGTGCCTATATTACAATTTCACTTCTTAAAAGTATCTCTTCAGACTATGGTTGCCTTTGGTAGTATATGGAAACTGTATCCATTTCACTAGTATCATTTTTATATGAAAATTTAAATCTCTGACCAACATATCTCAACTGTATTTCTGTACCCACTCCCACAAGCACTAGAGTGCTAGAAAGGCAAGACTTCAAAGATCTTCAGGGTATAAAAGTTTAAGTTAGAGAAATACAGATATTTTACTAAGCTAAGGCAATAAAAACCAGATGTTCCTTACAGATGCTTCCAAAGTCTGAATGCACATCTGGAGAAAGACTGAGCTACCCTGGCGGCAATCTGTGACCTGAGAGAACTGGACAGAACCTAACTATTCCCCAAACTGCCAGGTTAATGAACTGTTTTAGGAGTCTTATTTCACTTTATGTCAGAATTCATATAGGGAGACTGTTAGTACATCAATGTAGAAGATACTTCAGATTATCAAGTAGATTTTCTTACCATTACTCCTTGAAAACAGAGGTTTAAGATAAAAAGTGTAATCATTTGCATTGATCCAGGGATTCTGCTAGGTGCTGAGTGTGTCTATTCCAGTTATACCCTCTGGAACAGGGGGTAACTACAGGGTATGTTTGGAGCCCACTGTTGATTACCTGACTTCCAAAGTCCCACTCTGATTGGAGGACACTTCAGGTGGAATTAGCGTTGGTTCAGAGCCAGTGTCCAACTATCCCTGAAGATCTGCCTGTGCCCCCAGTATAGATGCCCCGGCAAAAGCTCCAGGTCCCTTTGAGGGAGGCTGGTAGAAATATTAACAGCATACTTTTTTTTGGCAGTGTAGTGGCATCCTTGCCCAAGGCCTCCCCTTCATTCTAAGGGGCTCTGGGTTTGTAAATTGTCTGTGTCTAGGAATTGAGGTCTTGATTCTGTTTTTACATACGAGTTAGACTTCAGTTGATCTAGACCTAGTTAGAATTCAGTAACCACCAGTAGATCTCATTTCTAGGAATGCCACGATCAGTTAGCCAAGTCCATAAATCTGTGAGTCAGATTATTCCAGTTACTTCTCAGAGTCTGAGGTCATACCGTAACCACACCCACATGTCCATGGTGATTAGGTAATGATGCCTGCCCTTGGCAGCCTGGCCTATGTATTGTAGTCTTGCAGGCTCCACAGTTAGTTAAAGGAACATTTATGTGACTATCTGCTCCCTCTCTTCCTCCACCCTCCCTCTGTTTCTTCTGAAAAATCCAGACTAACAATAGAGGCCGTGACAAAGAGAATATTAAGCAGAAGTGGGCCAGTTTTCTATGACTCAGGGGAAAAATAGATTTGATTCAATTCTAAAATTGAGAGCTTACAGGCATTTTTTACTTTCTGGATTTTGTTCAACGACATTGTCAACTTTGTTAGCAATAGCATCTAATCACTGAAACTAGGGGTACCAGCTAATATTTTTGCATAAATATGCATCTAAGAACTGAACCGGGTAAGAATCCAAATCTTTCCAGAAAATAAAAATGACATGACTCAGGCACATATCCAAATTAAGCAGACAGTTTGGCAAGCAGACGACAACAGGGCTTACATTGATTTGCTCTGTCCTGGTGTGTGTTGGCCTCATCGATGGCTTGCTGTATCTCATCCAGCCAAAGAACTTTAGAAACGCTCTCGGTATCCTGGGAAGGATGGCATAGAATCAGAGAGAGAACAGTGAATGATGGACTCAATAACTGCTCTTCAGATGCCATTCTGTTATAATTTCCATATCCTTACTCAGCAAATCACCAAACTAAAACACAAACTACTAATGAATGGACCCCAAATCTAGCCATTTTCCCTCTCTGTCTCTGCTGCCTTGAGTCTGCCCACTGTCATCTCTCACATGGAACAACGGCACTGGTCACCTATGTATTTTGCTGCTTCCTAAGTCTGCCTGGGGCCACAGCATGTCTTTAGAGAGAAGCACTCGATGACTTCAAAATGGAACATCTCATTACCCCCTCCTTTGCTAATCCCACAAGGGTCCTGCTTCACCTCACTCTCTTTCCTTCCCTTCCTCTGTTCTAGAACCTCACAGACCTCCAGAGCAGGAGGAGTCTGGAGGAGTTGCTTCCTCCAAACCAAGCACTCTAAGTACATGGGTACTGCTTTTTCTCACGCTCAGGCTTCAGCTCAAAGCTACCTCCTCCCATACTCTCGTCCCCTAAGCATTTGATAACTGGTTCCAATTGAAGTGTCAAGGTGCCCCATGGTGTCACGGGACACTTTATAGCCAAGGGAAACACTGATTCTCAACACTTATCAGATACAGAGACAAAACATACAAACAAACCACGATGACTGCCTCAAGGAGCTCACAGTCTAGGCGAAGAGATAGATGTATCAAGAAAAATTGTGTTTCAGGCAGTATCTACAGAACGTGACTGAGAAGTAGGCAAGAAGGGGTTAAGTATGTAGGGGTTCTAGAGGTGCAGGTGGGAAAAAAGCTTAGTCAGAGACAGCTTCAGAAAGGATGCGGGCAAGGCAGTTAGTGAAAATGAATGAATCACCTTTCTGTTTTTCCCTTGGGGTTGATTCTGACAATTCTTGCTATGAGTGTCGTGATGGTGGATATTCAAGTTTGGCACTGGCTGTAGCACTGCATTTCATTTAGAACCCTGGTCTTAAGGTGGCAGGTAACATTCTCAGTAGAAATTAAATATTTTCAGGAAGACAAGACGTTCCATTTAAAAAATGGAATGTTGGGTGGCAGGGGGGCAGAAATGAACCCAAGCCTTGTATGGCACATATAATAATAAAATAATTAAAAAAACTGGAAGTGCTTCACCATGTGTTAGGATAACTGTGGTTCTGAACCCTGAATTCAAGACAGTGAAAAAGTTTTGTTTTGTTTTGTTTTCTTCTTCTGTCTTGTTACAGTTATGTAGGGGATTGAACCAGGGACTGCATCATGTGACCTACATCTCTGGTCCTGTTAATTTTCTGATTTTGTTGCATTTTCATAGGAGCAAGCTGTGGGTTGTTGGCTTAGTTTAGTCATATGTTTTGTTAACTATAGCATTTTCCTTTTATAGACTGTATATTAATCATGACTTGTCTACTAATAAAAGTTTATTAGTATGTCACCCACAATCAATGTGAATGTAATGACATTTAACTGAACTGTGCCCTTAAAATGGCTAATTTGTTGTTCTTATGTTACGTATATGTTGTTACTATAATTTACAAAAAATATCTTATTGTAGACCTGCATTTATGGACTTAAGAGAGTTCTCTGCATTTTTCAATTTTTATGATTTTTAGCTCATTCACCACAGTTTTTTGTAGGGTCTCCACAGTTATCTGACCCTACACGGTTTACCGATGGGCCAGAACACAATGAACTATGGCAAACAAAGTCTCTCCAACAACCATGAAACCAAGGTCTGGCCAGGCACTGATGACAAATTGGGACCGAATGTACTGACAGAGAATCTTTCAAAGCAGTCTAGCAGTAAACAATTTAACTTCGTTAAAAAAAGTTTGTTTTTTCAAAAGTAAAGACAAAAAACATTGCAAACAGCTTGGAAACTTAATAACTCATTACTTAATGAAGAATGGATCATCGAGTGCAATAAAAGAGGAAATTAAATAGTTTCCTGGAGTCAATGAAAATGAAAACCAACCCTACCAGAACCTATTGGGACACAGCAAGGCAGATCTTGAGAGGAAAAGTTTATGCCATGATGCATATATAAAAGATTGGAAAGATCCCAAATCAATGACCTAATGATACATCTCAAACTCCTAGAAAAACAAACAAGCAAATCCCAAACAAATAGAAGGAGAGAAATAATAATAAATAAGAGCTTGAAATCAACGAAATAGAACCAAAAAAAACCATACAAAGAATTAATGAAACAAAAAAGTTGGTTCTTTGAAAAAATATACAAGATCGATAGACCCCTGGCAAAACCTGACTAAAATGAGGAGAGAAAAAAACCAATTAGTAGAATCAGGAATGCAAAAGGGGAGATAACAAACCAAACACCATGAAGTCCAGGAAATCATCAGAGACTACTTTGAGAACTATATTCAAAATAAATTTGAAAATCTAAAGAAATGGACAGATTTCTAGATACATATGATCATCCAAAACTGAACAAGAGGAAATTAATCACCTGAATAGACTATAACACAAATGAAATTGAAGCAGCAATCAAGAGTCTCCCCAAAAAGAAAGTCCAGGACCTGATGGATTCTCTGCTGAATTCTATCAGACCTTTAAAGAAGAACTGATACAACCCTCCTTAAACTGTTTTCCATGAAATAGAAAGGGAAGGAAAACTGCCAAACACATTTTATGAAGCCAGTATTACACTTATCCCAAAACCAGGCAAAGACACCTCCAAAAAGGAGAACTATAGGCCAATCTCCTTAATGAACATGATGCAAAAATCCTCAACAAAATAATGGCAAACCGAATTCAGCAACACATCAAAAGATTATTCACCACGAAGGTAGGCTTATCCAGGGATGCAGGGGTGGTTCAACATACGAAAATCAATAAACGTAATAAACCACATTAACAGAAGCAAAGACAAAAAACCACTTGATCATCTCAATAGATGCAGAAAAAGCCTTTGATAAGATCCAACATCATTTCATGATAAAAGCTCTAAGAAAACTGGAATAGAAGGAAAGTTCCTCAACATTATAAAAGCTATATAGACAAACCTACAGCCAGCATTATACTTAACGAGAAAAATTAAAACCATTCCCTCTTAAAATCAGGAACCAGACAAGGATGCCCACATATCTCCACTCCTATTCAACATAGTACTGGAATTCCTAGCCAGAGCAATTAGGCAAGAAGAAGGAATAAAAGGAATACAAATAGGTAAAGAAACTGTCAAAATATCCCTATTTGCAGACGACATGATCCTATACCTTAAAGACCCAAAAAACTCTACTCAGAAGCTTCTAGACATCATCAATAGCATAAGCAAGGCTAGCAGGATATAAAATCAACATAGAAAAATCATTAGCATTTCTATACACTACAATGAGCAAACGGAAAAAAGAATGTATGAAAACAATTCCATTTACAATAGCCTCAAAAAAATCAAATACCTAGGTGTAAACCTAACAAAAGATGTGAAAGACCTCTACAAGGAAAACTATACACTTCTGAAGAAAGAGATTGAGGAAGACTATAGAAAGTGGAGAGATCTCCCATGCTCATGGATTGGTAGAATCAACATAGTAAAAATGTCTATACTCCCAAAGTAATCTACATGTTTAATGCAATTCCCATCAAAATTCCAATGACATTCATTAAAGAGATTGAAAAATCTACTTGTAAATATATGGAAACACAAGAGGCCACGAATAGCCAAGCAATATCAGTCAAAAGAACAATGCAGGAGGTATCACAATACCTGACTTCAAACTATATTACAAAGCAATAACAATAAAAACAGCATGGTACTGGCACAAAAACAGACATGAGACCATGGAACAGAATAGGATCCAGATATGAAGCCACACAACTATAAGCAACTTATCTTTGACAAAGGAGCTAAAAATTACGATGGAGAAATAGCAGCCTCTTCAACAAAAACTGCTGGGAAAACTGGTTAGCAGTCTGCAAAAAACTGAAAACTAGATCCATGTATATCACCCTATACCAAGATTAACTCAAATGGATCAAGGATCTTAATATCAGACCCCAAACTCTTAAGTTGATACAAGAAAGAGTAGAAATACTCTGGAGTTAGTAGGTATAGTAAGAACTTTCTCAAATGAAACCCCAGCAGCACAGCACTAAGAGATAGCATAGATAAATGGGCCTCATAAAACTAAAAAGCTTCTGTTCATCAAAAGAAATGGTCTCTAAAACTGAAAAGAACACCCACAGAGTGGGAGAAAATATTTGCCAACTATACTCAGACAAAGGACTGAATAACCAGAATATACAGGGAACTTAAAAAACTAAATTCTCCCAAAACTAATGAACCAATAAAGAAATGGGCAGTGAACTAAACAGAACTTTCTCAAAAGAAGAATTCAATGCCAGCAAACACAATGAAAAATGCTCACCATTCTTCT